GTAGTCCTTTTTTAGCCTCTGAGTTACATACAAATAGTCTCTCAGAGTACCTCGAACCCAAGTCCTTTCAACGTAAAAGGTTAAGGCTCTCCAAATGTATGCAGTCTACGTTTAGTCTACGTTTGGCGTCAGTGGTTGGGTTGGGAGCACAATGTTCTTGTTCATATGAAAGGCCGACACCACCATAGGCAAAACGTGATGTTGGACGGAGGACTACCTTTTCCCTGTGGAAACTGAGATATGGTTGGTCCACCCGCAAGGCAAACATTCTGCCCACGTGGTGGGCAGAGGTGATGACCACCAAGAAAACTGTTTTCCAAGTCAGCAATCTTAAGTCCGTGGTGGCCAAAGGTTCAAACAGCTTGGTAGAGAGGTAGGAGAGTACCAAGTCTAGGCTCCATGCCGGAGTTGGTACCGAAGATGGAGGGTGGAGATTGTTCAGGCCCTTGAGGAACCTCTTTACCAAAGGGTCCAAGAAAAATGAAGGCCTGCCTTCAAGTTGATAGTGGGAACAGATGGTAGACAAATAACACTTAATGGAGTTTAAGCACAATCCTGATTCCACAAGAGACATTAAGAATTCCAGGTACCGAGCCATGGGATGGAGGCAGATTTCTTGCAGATAGGAAGTCCAAAAACTTGTTCCACTTTAGTGCATAGGACTTTATGGTGGAGGGCTTCTGTGCAGCCCAAATCACTGTCAGTATCAAGGTGGGTAGTGTTGGTAAGGCTGGATTCTCCACGCCACCAGGGAAAGAAAGTCAACATCCGGGTGTTGAACCCAATCATTGTGCATCGAGAGAAGGTCAGGACAGAACTCGAGGTGGAGGTAGCCTCCCTGAGCAAGGTGTAGCAGGGGAGCAAACCATGGCTGTCTCGGCCACCATGGTGTGATGAGGATGGCATCTGTTTTGTCTATCCTCATTTTGATGATGACCTTCACGATGAGTGGAAATGGAGGGAAAGCATAGAACATCCTCCCAGACCACTCAAATTGGAAGACATCTCTTCTGGGGACCACTGGCCCCTTACAGCCAAGTCCTGCGTGTGTGCTCCCCATCCCTCCAGGGATGCATCCATTGTCAGGTTGATTTCTGTTTGGGGGACCAGAAAGTGCATCCTGGTGCAGAAATTGGTGGGTTTGAGCCATCAGTGTAATGATGCTGCTAGTGGTCTTGGAACAGTGAGCCATTTGGATGGGGAGTTGCAGACAGACGGACAGGAACCAGGACTATATGGGTCTCAGGTGAAGTCTTGCCCAAGGTGTCACAAAGGTTGTTGAGGCCAAGTGTCCTAGTGCCACCTGCACTTTGTGGGTCTTGATACGTCTGTGTGTGAGACAAGCATTGATGGCGCTGGTCAGGGTCGGGAACCTGTCCTTGGTTTGTATTGAGTCTAGGATGGCGCCAATGAACTTGACCCATTGAGATGGAGTCAAATTCAATTTCTCTTTGTTGATCATCAGCCTGAACGAGTCTAGCAGGGAGAGGGTGAATTAGATGTCTCTCTGGAGCTTCTGTTGAGACGGTGCTGAAAGGAGCCAGTTGTCCAAGTAGGGGAAGACTGTGATCCCTTGCTGATGGAGGTATGTCGCCACAGGTGCCATACACTTCGTAAAGACCCTCAGTGCTGTGGAGAGTCCAAATGGAAAGACTCTGTACTGATAGATCCTGGTCCTGCCTGCAAAGACAAGGAACCTCCTGTGATCTCTTCGGATACTCACATGGAAGTTCGTGTCCTTGAGATCGATGGTTGCGAACCAGTGTCCCTTCTGCAGGAGAGGAAGAATGGAAGAAAGGGTTACCAATCGAAACCATCGGTATCAAAGCTCTCAAGTCCAAAATAGGTCTTATGCCTGAGTCCTTTTTGGGAACGGTAAAGTAACAGGAGGAAAAACAGTGCTGGGCCTGAGAAGTGTCCACGGGCTCAATAGCAAGGCGTGATGGAGGTATGCTGCTACAGGTGCCATGCACTAAGTAAAAACTCAGGGCTGTGGAAAGTCTGAATGGAAGGACTTTGTACTGATAGATGCTGATCCTGACCGTGAAGGCAAGGAACCTCCTGTGATCTCTTCAGATGCTCACATGGAAGTAGGCATCCTTGAGATGGATGATCGCGGATCAGTGACCCTTCTGCAGGAGGAGTAAAATAGAAGAGAGGGTTACCATTCGAAACTGTCGATATTGAACATAAGAGTTCAAACCCCTCAAGTCCAAGATAGGCCTAATGCCTGAGTCTTTTTTTAAAACAGTGAAATAGCGGGAGAAAAAACAGTGCCGAGCCTGAGAGGGATATACGGGTTCGATGGCAGCTTTCTCCAAGGCATGCACTTCGTCAAGTAGGGTGTCTGAGGGGCTGGGGGACAGAACAGTTCCGGTAGTCGGGAGCTCTTTGAACTTGAGGGCATAGTCCCTAAACACAATATCTAAAACCAAGGAATTGGAGGTGATTGAGGCCAGGTGTTGAAAAAGGCCTTCAATTTGTCACCAAAGGGAGGTTCATCGAGGTGTGCAGCCCCATCTCATAACTTCCTCTTTCCCAAGTCAGAGGGCTTCTTCCTAAACTCCTGTCGGTACCGTGGTTGTGGATGCTGACGACGGCCCGATGAAGAAGAGGAGGAATGAGAGGGTTGGTGTTCTCTTGACTGACCTCGGTTGTGGGACTGATGCTCCTGCTGCTGGTACGGACGCTGATAAGGTTGGTACCAGGAGCGCTGTTGACCCCAAAACCGCCATCTTGGTGACTGGAATGTAGAGGAGATGCCATGCTTCCTCGCTGCTGTTTTAATTTGGTATCGGAAGTTTAACTTCTCATCCGTCTCTTTATTAAAAGGGACTGGAATCATTGAAGGGCATGTCCTCTATTGCGGTCTTTGCTTGAGGGGTCAAATCCGATGCCTTGAGCCAAGCATGGTGACAAGAGAGCTACAGATCCAGATAGAATCTTGGCAGCACAATCGGTGGAGTTCCGTGCCAAAATAATTTGTTTGCCACCTAGAGCATGTGTTTTGGCCTGGATGGCCATAGCCAAGGCCTTATCATCATTGGGGACACCATCCAGGAGGGGCTCCAGCTTCTCCATCAGATGTTGAACATACGTGCCCATACAAGCAGCGTAGTTTGCCACCTTCAGATCCAAGACGGCCGCAGCATAGATCTTCTTAGCTACATGGTCGAATTTCTTACTCTCCCTGTCTGTAGAAGTGGAGGTCCAAGGCATAAATGCCTGCTGAGCACCCTCAACGATCGCAGAGTTTTGGCAGGGATGTTCGAATAACCAGAATGGACCAGCAGAAGAAACCCTGTAGAGGTTCTTGATCCTTCTGGATGTGGAAGGCACTGTAGCCGGGGTTTCCCATTATCTCTTTGCAATCTTCTCGAGGGAGAGGAGACAAGGGATGGCAGGTGGGGTCGGCACCTTTCCATGGATCTGTCTCTCAATAGAATCAAGAGCCTCCTTATCGGTCCTAGCAACATTCAGTTTGAGGGCGCTTGCCATCCTTATCACCTGGTCTGAGAACAACCTGACATTGTTGGTAGGGGATGATGATGTCAAGCTGATCATAGGTGTAGGGCTGGGTGACCTCTCAGCCCCAGACTCAGGTGTTGGCGATCGGGATCGAACTCCAGAATGGCTCGAAACCGGTGAGTCCTCAGGAGACCTCGGGAGTGGCTCACCAGCCAGTAGGGAGGCATGTCAAGGTGGAATCGGTGGAGGTGGTAGTGAGACCTCTCGGGATGGAGAGTGTGCAGCATGGTGCCACTGTTGACTGAGCTGTTCCATATGTACAGGTAGATAATAGTGCCTGGTCTGGACATTATAAATCAGGTCAGGGTATGGCCGCAGGAAGAGGTCAACCTGCATCTGCCTGTGTTCCATCCCGGCCTGGTCTGCCTCACAGCCAAGGGAAGTAACTTCTCAAGGTCCATGAGCCCGAGGGCTTTCACGGGTGCGAGAAGTACTAGGCACCGGCTCATCCAGTTGGTAGAGAGTCAGGGATGGTGGTTCCTGCTCCTAAATCTCGCCCTCTGACTCTGAATCAATATCGATGGAGGGAGTCAAAGGCTTCGGTACTGGAGTGGAGGGAACCATTTCAGAGCCCAAGGAAGCCAGTGGAGTCTTGGCCTAATCCAAAGGCCTCAATTTCAACTACCCCTGTGGGGAGGCAGATTGGGCTGTTTTGGAAGTGGAACGGCATGGAGATTCAACCTCGGTAGGTTCGAGGTGCTTCATTTTAGTGGTCTTTTTACCTCCACCATCACCTTGGTCCTTGTCACCCTTAGAAGTCTTCCTATCTTTCGAAGACTTATCCCTGGACCTCTCCTTGGTCCTACCTCTCTCCTGTACCTTCTCCACTACAGAAGACGAAATTCCTTCACCTGAGGAGGTACCGGCAGGTGCAGAAGAAGGCCTGAGGATTTGTTCCCATAGGACAGCTTTGAGTTTCAGGACCCCATTCTTAAGGGCCTGAGTTGTCGTACTCTTGCACATCAAACAGGCCTTGGGGTTATGAGCCTCACCAAGGCAGAGGACACATTCATCATGGCGGTCCGAAGTGGGGGTTTCCCCGTCGCATTTAGAACAGCGCTTAAAGGGCACCATCTTTTCCATCAGTTGAATCAGTAAGAGAAAAACGAGGTTGTAATACAGTCCGAGGTCGAACAATCTGCTAACTGTCACCAGAAACAATCCGAGAGAGAAGTCAAGCCAGAAATAGGTCAAAAAAGCCATAGGTCAAGGTTTTTCCATAGTGAAAATGAGCGACTCTAACTAGCGAAGTTCCTTGCTAGCTGCTAATGCGGTGGACAAAAGGAACTAAGGAAAGAGCAGGAACGCTAGGGGCTTTATAGGGATGGGTGGAGCTACCGCCAAAAAAATGCAATCTGAGATTTTCCCAGTGATACTAGAACTTTCTGAGCTAACTGCGCAGGCGCAGACATAACCTATTTGTGTGATTCACAGAGACCACGAAGAAGACATTGATATTCATGGTACTGTGAGGCACAGTGGTGTAGTAGTTTGAGTGTCAGACTACAGCTCTGGAGACCAGGGTTCAATTCCCAGCTCGACCATGAAACCCACTGGGTGACCCTGGGCAAGTCATACTTTCTCAGGCAATGGCAAACCTTCTTTGTACAACTCTTGCCAAGAAAATTCCATGATAGGTTTGCCTTAGGGTCGCCATAAGCTGGAAATGACTTGAAGGCATACAACACACACACGCACTCCTGGAAAACAAAATATGGAGAAAAGTTGCTATGCAACTTTGAAAGGTTAATTCCTTTATCAAACAAACAAACAAACAAACAAAAAAAAACAGATTTGAAAAGTTCTCTATATATCTCTATATCATGTAAACAAATGTTTTGCACCATAATTAAAAGGATATTTAGTTTCTTTGCATATAGGAAATAAAAGTACCTGATGCCTATTGAGCTCTATGCTTCTTTCCAATTCCATTTGAGCAGCTGCTAGTTCTTGTTGATGGTTATGTCTTAGTTGATCAATTGCTGCTGCATGCTGATGATTTAATTCTGAACGCAAAGACGCTGGGGCATATAAATAAATAGTTTTTAAGAGAAATATCTCCTTAAATAATAAGAAAACCCAACATCCTATCACCATAGGTTTATTGCTCTCTAGAATAACAAAACTTCTAGCTTTTGAAGAAAATGTTTCTTTGTTATTTTCTCACCCTTTGGCAGATGTGATTCTTTTTTGTCAATATGAATGAATAACTGAAAATGTATAATAACATAACATTGAAAAAATTTCTAACTGGCAGCTAGTTAATTCCAGATTAAGCATTAGAAAGACTGTAGAGTTGCTCCACAGTATTATTAGCTGGTTGCAAATAACCTACATGTCTATCACATTTTCCTGACACTCAAGCACTGGAATTTCATTGCTCACAAAATGTTAGCAATTTTGAGTGTTGTATGGAATGTGACTACTTAAGTGTCGCCTATGATATTCATAAAGAGCAACTCAGCTCCTCCGTCCCATGCTTCTGGTGTTCTGTGATGGTTTAAAGTTTTATTTCACCTTTTATTTTTTATGTACTACTTTAAAAACTGAGAGATCTCCTGTATCCTACTCAAGCAAAGCAGCACTAATATATTTCCCTGAAAATTAAGCAGGCAATAGTAAAATTATTTGTGCCTGCCCAAAGTTCCATGCACAAGAGTACTGGAATGAAAACCTTTGTTTTGCATAGAAAACAATGTTTTTGTGAAGAAAACACTACACAGTGTCTGGCAATTTCCTGTTTTCTGCACAAATCACTGGTTTTCATACATTTTGCACTTTTTGCAAAACAGAAATGTGGAAAATCTTATGATAGTTTCCCATGTGACTGGAAAAAGGCTTAACATGTCGCTAACAACATTTTCTGTAGGAAATGTTTTCTTTGCATCAGTTTTCAATTTGATTCTGCTAGCAACAATTCTTCCTGCCTTCACAAGTTTCAATTTCAAACTTTAGTTAATATTTGCAATCATATTTAATTTCACTTCTGCATTTCCCTGGCTTTCTTGATACTAATCATGCTTTCCACACAAAACAGGGGTGGTTGTCATGTGGCCCATGAGCCTCTTGTAACTCCCATGGTGATTCTGTGGCCCCTGGAGGCCCAAAGATTATAATGTTTTTCCAATACAAATGAGAGGTGGAATTTCTTCATTAAAAACAGGAGAATCACACTACAAGGGTCTTGGTTCTCCTCTGAAACAAGATAAAGGCCTCCCATGTCTTTTTTAAAGCAGAAGATCCATTTTAAAAATCTATAACAAGGGTAGGCAACCTTTCCCCTTTAAGGGCCGAGGGACTTCAGCTCCCAGAAACCTCAGCCATGTTGGCCAATAGCTCCTGGGATTCTGGGAGCTGAAGTCCCTCGGCCCTTAAAGGGGAAAGGTTGCCTACCCCTGATCTATAAGTTTGTTTGTTTAAAACCAGAAGTGACCTTCCAGTTACTTCCTGTTTCATGCAGAAAGACATGCAGCCCTTGAGCTTGCTCACCTCAGGTACAGAAGCACCTACAGAAGTGTTAACACATGCTGACAAAGTCACAAGATGTTCATGTTGCATCATAATATTATAAAATGTATAAATTACATGCTACATGCAACAACAACAACAATAATAATAATAGCTAATCTTAGGCTCCAGATATTAGGCTCCCAGATGTTATTGGACTACAACTCCCCAAATCCCTGACAACTAGCAAGGTGTTCTAGGAGTTTAAGCCCCCAAATATCTTAGGATCCAAGGTTGGCAACCATCACCACAACTTATGGGACATTAACTATACAGTCAGCCTTCTATATCCATGGATTTTTTATCCACGGATTCAAGTATCCACAGCTTGAAAATATTAACAAATATATAAATTCCAAAAAGCAAACCTTGATTTTGCCATTTCATATAAGAGACAGCATTTTACTATGCCATTCTATTTAATGGGACTTGAACATCAACAGATTTTGTTATCCATGGGATGTTCTGGAACCAAATCCCAGCAGATACCAAGAGACCACTGTACCCAAAATCAGCCAGATTCTTCACCTTTAAAAAGCTAAATGTACCAAAATGTATAGTGAACATGTCAAGTCTTGACAAAACATGCTAACTTCCCTCAGCACCAGAAATAATGGATTAAGTTGTAAATAGTGACATGAAAGTACAGTACCAAGCATAGCTTTTCCTTCATCTTCCAATTCGAAGCGAAGAGTCTGCAGTTCCTGTTCCATTTCCAGTTTGAAAGCATCCATACTTTGTCTGTGAGCTTCTTTCAGTGCCTGAAGTTCTTCTGAGTGCTTTTGTTGTAAACGTTCCTCCAGTTCCTAAGTAATTTAAAAATAAAATTGCTCTACATGTAGATAAAATGTTCAGCAATTGATTAGGGATGTAAATAATATTAACAAATTTTATCATCTTTGACAAGAAGTAGTGTTTCAACATATTAAAATAACTCCATAAAAATAAAGTCTATTGCAGTGAGGTTTGTTTTTTTTTGCCCCATGGAAGAACAAGAAATCTAGAGCTTTTCCCATTAGCAACAGCAAGAGAATTTTTTTTAAAAAAAAATTGTACAAAAAAACTTGACAAGTTTTTTGCCAGAAGATCAAGAAATGCAAAAAATAATTTTAAATGTGCAAAAATTCTCATGATCTCACCTAGTGATGGATAAATTTTTCAAAACGTTTATTCCCACATACAGAAAATAATAAATTGCAATGGTATCTTGCCAAGTTTAAGCTCAACAAAGTATAATTTCAGCAAACAGAAGTTAATAATAAATCACACGTAGAGAGATAATTTCTACTGCTAATAATATTGATGATTAATATCAATTTTAAGTCAAATCATACTTTATCACTGTAACAGTGAATGGATATTGTGCATGCCAATATACCATATATACTCAACTATAAGGCGACCTTATGTATTAGGTTGAGGGCAATTTTTGGTGCCAAATTTATGGATTTTGATAGGACCTGTGGGTGGATCAAGGATAAAACTTAGGGGCATGTAACAAAGGATGCAAAGGATGAAGCAAAGGAAAATTCTGCTAAAGAACTTATAAAATTCTGGCAGGCATAATTGTGTATGCTCACCCTAAAGGATGGATGGATGAGGAGGAGGGAACTATGATAAATCATGGCTGTGCAATGTGCGGGAAAGGCAACCGGGCATAGGTGAGGCTAAGAAAATGTACATGTATCAAAAAAGTTAAAAGGCAAATCAAAGAAAATGACAAATAAATTGCTTTAATTTTAATGTGATAGCTTTGCCTGATTTTAACCCAGAAAAGCTGACAAACATACACAAATGTCTATTTCCTATCTTTCAAAGCCTGATTCCTCTTGGCACTCCTTTGAGGGGAAGTGCCAAAGAGCTGCCACAGCCACCATTTTCCTGACCAGACATTCATAAAGGTCAGAAGTGGCACCATAGCAGAGAGAGCAGAGGGGGTTGGTGTTTCTTTTAGGTGCTCCTGGAATAATTAAGTTTTTGCCTTTTTCTACTTTGCTCAGAGAAGGGTACGGTTCTTTTTTTGTTAAGAGTTAAGGTACAGTTCTTACGCTGACCTGTGGATTGGTCGACCCAGTTTTTTGGGGTCAATTTTTGATGAAAATTTCAAGACGTATACATGAATATATATAGTAATTACAGGCAAAACATGACCACTAAAAAAGAAAGGCATTCATATGCTCAGGGGAACCTCATTGGCAGAAATGAAAAATGTTCAGCACTCATGCTGCTATACTATAGTCCCTGGGGCAGCATTCTGGGTGCCAAAGGATGGATCTGAAATCCCCCTCCAAGGTTCAGCACAGACTCCTTGCCTTGGATTTTTCCTTCCTGCTCTTATAGGTTTTTCCTCTCAAGTTCTCAATTTGAGTAATTAGGAGGATAGTGGGCAAATGAGGGGGGGCATGATGAGGGTGGAGCCCTACTGGATGCTACACAGCTTTCAGAGAACAATTTTAGGAGTTCCCAAATGAAGATGAACAACTTTTCTTTGAGCAAAAACACAGTTCATGTTTCTGTTTCTTGTGGCCTGTCATTTGAAAATGTCACATGCTACAGAGGTACAAATGAACATGCCTTTTGTTCTTGTTGTTTTGTTTCTTCCAGATTGTGGAATGCAAGAATATGAGCTTCTTTCATGGACTTATGCCTCTGCTGATGCTCCTCTTCCAGCTCTTCAATTTCTTGGGCCAGCCTCTGTCGCTCCTGACTAAACTGTGCCTGCAGCTGCTGCACTGAGGTTTGAGATTGGGAAAGCTGCATTTCCAGGTTCTGCTTTAGCAGGGAGATCTAGTTCACAGAAATACAAAGTTCAATAGAAATTAAAATTAGAAAAATACTGTATTTATATTTCTTTATAGTTTAAAAATAATTATGACCAGAATCTAGGAAAATACATGGATGTATATCTTGTATTGCTTCACCCTCCCAAAGAGCAGCCTTCTCATGCTGCATCAATCCATTTTTAATATGAAAAGGGGAGTAGATGGGCAGTGAGGACACTAATGGTATATTTTGCTCATCAAAGCTCTTGAGATTT